TCTGTCTGTCTGTCTGTCTGCATGTAGTGAGACCACTCGTTTCAGGGGTTACGATATCCAGCTTTTTCGGGCATCGGCATCTGAATGTGGACATTACACACAACACGGGGTATAATTCTTGCGCGGAAGAGGTCAGCTCACACATCGCAGAGGGCACTTTTGTTACGAGCCTCCGTGTTCACACATAGCAGGGAGCACGATTTGTTGCGTGAAATACGTGCTCACTTCACACATCATTACTGGCGTGAACATGTGGTCAGCTCACACATTGCAGAGGGGGTGCGATTTGCTACGAGCAGCTGCCTCTTTTCGCCTGCAATCTGCAGTCCTCTGCTAGTTGCCCTGTCTAGCTTTCGTCCCAGCCCGTCCTCCCAAGTTCGACAAAGTCTGCCAAAGTCTGCGAGAACAAATCCGGTGGAAGTTTCGAGTACGGCAGAAAGGACCTCTACCCCAGCGATTGGGTCGAAGAGTCGAGCTGATCGGAAAGAAGGAAAAGAAGTCTACTCGGAAAGAAGAGAAGCGAAGTAAGAAGGCTGCCAAGAAAAACAGAAGCGAAGAACTATCGGACAGTACTCTCCGAGTTAAGCGGAAGCTCGATGTGGCCATGGTGGCTAGAAATCGTTTCGCTTTCATGTTGTTCATCCTTCCCGCTCTGCTCACAAGCATCAGAACCGCCAGGAGTCCCGAATCGAGTTGCACGAACCGCTGAAAACCGGAATAGTGTGAACCCAACCGTTTTTTAACAACCGTAACAACCGCGCAACAGAACCGAACCGAGGCATTGCTCTAATTTGTTGGCTGCGTGTGCAATGCAGTGGGTGTATGCCGGCCGATAACCATAACTCAGTCCATGACCAGGTGACAAACAGTGTGAGAGCATCACCGACTGCTCACTTCCGAAGACGTCCCCTTACAGCGTGAGGTCACCAAGGGACACACACACACACACAACCCATCACCCAGTTCCGGCCGTTGCTTGGCAGCTGTTCCTGCAGTGGTCGTAGTAAGGACGGAGCACTTTACGACCGTTCGGGTCATTCTGCCGCGAGACGGCGAGGAGATTAGCTTGAATGAAGCCGCCGTTTATCTGTAACTTCTGTTCACCCCTCTCTTCCCAATGGGTTTGTGCAGGACGACTTCTTGAAAGTCTACGAGAAGATGCAGGACAACGTCGTGCAGAGATCTCGGTTGGACGGCAAGCCTGGCTGGCACTTGCTGTTCGCATTCGGCCGCACCCAGACCGAAGCCAGACGGTTCAAAGGCATCGAAGACAAGGACGTGGTGCCTGTAAACTCGCGGAGCTGTGGTGGCCTCTAGGCAGTTGCGAGCGCAAGATGGCAACACTTTGTGGCGGGTCGTCATGCTGCGGGCTGAGCTGGGATGAAGAATTCTGACTGGTGCCACGGCACGAGTGTGGCGTTGCATGCCTCGTTTGAGGTTCCGACGCGCAGTTGATGGCTTCAAGATGTGTTGAGAAGGTTTACGGCCAGAGCCTTACAACTTGCTTTAGGTGCACGGATGCAGAACGGCTCGCAACAGTCTAGAGAGCTGACTCCATGTACCGACACCTGCGGTGTACCGTCATGTCCTTGTGGGGCTTCTTGTACAATTTAGGGCACGTTAATTAGTGGTCCGAAGTGTAACGGTGCGTCTATCTCAGGGTCCCTTCTCTTGCTTTGCCGATGCCGTTGGCCTCTCTGCTTGTCGCCGACGGCACTAGCTCTGGTGCCTCCAGTGCAGCTTCTCAGACGTGTCAAATATAAGGGCCCGAAAAATACCCAAAAGCGCGTGAAGACAAGAATCAGAGGTTTAAGGGGTTTCCGGGGAAAAGAAGTAATTTGCGCTTTTTTATGTTAATAGTTATGAGCAATTTGTTTTTGGGGTTACCTGCTTTTTGTTGTATTATATCTGTGTAGTTGTTGCTGCTTTGCTGGTTTTGCTGGGACCTGCCACGCTTTTGGCTTGGGTCATCTGCATATCAATTTATCTGGCCCTGGGGTTTACCAGAAACCATTGATCAACAATGGAAAGCCACAGGACATACCTTAAGCAAACAAGAAAAACCAATGGACAGTTGCTGCAAAAAGCAAAAATAACTACCAATACAAAGCCCATAAAACCAATGTGCGATTCCGGGTCCCATTGGGCGATTTCGGTTCACCAGATCTTAAACACGCCCCCCCACTGGGCGAGTCCACCTCGTTGGGAAATGCCGGTTCATCATATATCTTAAACACCCCTCATTCCGGTCATCGAATCTCTCAAACATCGCCCCGCCCCCATTGGGCGATGCCGGTTCATCACATATTAGAACCACGCCCTTCATTGGGCGATTCCAGTTCACCATATAGCGTAAACACGCCCCCTCATTTGGCCATTCCGGGTCATCATTTATTTCAAACATGCCGGTTCATCATATATCTTAAACACGTCTCCACTGGGCGATTTCGGCATGTCCCCACTGGGCGATTTCTGTTCATCATTTTTCTTAAGCACGCCTTCCCCCATTGGGCAATTCCGATTCATGACATATCTTAAACACCAACCCCCCCGCATTTCCGCTTCATCATACATCATCATATGTCTTAAACTCGTCCCCTGATTTGGCGATTCCGGAACCTCACATATCTTAAGCACCCCTCATGTGGCGATTCCGGTTCATCGTATAGTTTAAACACGCCCCCTCATTTGGGAATGTTCACCATATATTTTAAACAGGCCCCTCATTTGGCGATCCCGGCATGAATCGCCCCATGTGAGAACTGGGCAAATGACGGAGCGTGTCTAAGACAGGCTAAGATCTATGATGAGCTGTAATCGCGAAAGGAGGGTGCATGTTTAAGATGTGGGATGGGCTGGAAACGCTCAGTAGAGGGGCGTGTTTGAGATATATGTAGAGCAGGAATCGCCCAATCCGGGGGGGGGGGG